GCGATAGGAATGCTCAGGAGCCGGCCTTGGTCAGGGGCTCAGAGCTGGAGCACGCAAGGAGCTGCTGGAAATCCTCTGCTGAGGGAAAAATCAGCTCAGCTCCTTATAAAGTTATTTTTCCAGCAGTGAAGCCATTGGCAGCTAGATTCCAGAGGTGGCCGTGTGTTTCAGAGGGTCACATTAAACCCCTCTGGTCCCATTTGTCCCTCAGGCAACTGCTGGGTGTACATTTCTGGGGCATGGAAGAAGTGCTGCTCTGGGTGAACACAGGACCCTGTTTGGTGATCACAGGGTCTTCTTTCTGTTGCCAGGAAGGACTACTCCGGAGAGTACACCATCTTCTTAATCCCCTGCACTGTGCAGCCCACGCAGCCATGGGCAGAGCCTGGAGACAAGCCCCTGCCCTGCACTGCTCACGCTCCGGAGCGGTAAGGAGGCCCCATCCCCACGGCAACTGGACAATTTCAGCACATTTGGGGTGTTTCTGGGGTCCCAGCAGGTGTGTGGGACACCACAACAGCAGCAGGAAGGGAAAAGGGGAGGGCTGGAACCTCCTCCTTTGCTCAAGAGCCTCCCTGCAACCAAGAGTGTCCGCACTCAGGGTAGTGGGAGATCACTGTGCTTGGGGTGCACATGTGTCCAAACCTCACTTCTCCGTGGTTTCCTTCCGTGTCCCAATTCCAGATTTTTGATCCCCATCGCCTTCCAGCAGACAAACCGCCCAGTTCCCGTTGTCTACTCCCTAAACACAGAGTTCCAGCTCTGTAACAACGAGAAGGTGTTTCTGATGGACCCCACCAAATCCGAAATGTCCCTGGCAGAAATGGATTACAAAGGGGCTTTTTCCAAGGGTAGGATTTATTTTGGCTTTGCTTCTTTCACAGCAACAAATGACATATTGAGCATGTTAAAACCCTGTAAAAAAAGAATGTGCTTGTGTCACCTTCACACCCCACACCCTTCCCAAACCTTCCAAACCCAGAGCTACATGTGGTTCAGCGTGTTAGTCTCTAGAAGTGGTTCTCTTGCTGAAGAATTCCACATGTCCATCTTTCTCCCCACCTCCCCAGGACAAGTCCTGTATGGCCGCGTGCTCTGGCACCCGGAACAAAACCTCAACGCCGCGTACAAGCTGCAGCTGGAAAAAGTCTACCTGTGCACGGGCAAGGATGGCTACGTGCCTTTCTTCGACCCCACAGGCACCGTCTATAACGAGGGGCCCCAGTATGGCTGCATCCAACCCAACAAGTACCTGAAACACCGATTCCTCCTCTTGGTGAGTCCTCTGCCTCTGCCCCTGCCCCCTGTTTGGGAGTTTTTCCAACAGCAAATAGATCCTGACTGCAAAGGGATGAGGAGTGTGTAGTGCCCTGGCCTCCCTTTGCAAAGCAGGAGAGCCTGCCCTCCTTTTCATGACACCTCTCTTATTTCCAGGACCGAAATCAACCTGAAGTGACAGATAAGTACTTCCACGATGTGCCTTTTGATGCTCACTTTGCCTCTGAGCTGTCCGAGTTCCACTCGGTAAGCAGCATGCCTGGAGTCGATGGATTTACTCTCAAGGTGGATGCTCTCTACAAGGTATGTGTTTCTGGTAGCCCAAAAGTAACTTCTCTGTCCAGGATCTCCCAAATGCTTTGCAAATTTTATGCTTTGGGCCTTCAGAAGCCAACCCCAACACAGAAAATGAAGATCAGGTTATTATTCTGGTCATTTTGAGATTTTTTTTTTTTTCCCTCCTAAAGCACTCAGGAAAAAGCTCTTTAAAAACATAGTATTCGTGACCCTAAATGAATTATTGCAGCTGGCAAAGGCTGAGCACCTCACTTGGTGCTCAGTGTTACTGCAGGTGCTCAGGAAAAGCTCACCCCGCTGCTTTGTCAGAAACAGAACACAAAATGCACTAGCTCTTGACCAGTCGGTATTAAAGACACTTTTAACGTGACCTGTGTGCTCATCTTCCCCTTTCAAAAGGTGGAAGCTGGACACCAGTGGTACCTTCAGGTGATCTATGTGATCGGCCCGGAGAGCACGGCAGGGCCCCGTGTCCAGCGGTCCCTCACTCGCCGCTGGCAGCGCGGCCGCAGGGACTTGGCTGAGGGCACCGGCAGGACGGTGCTGGACGACTCCTTGGTCTACGACAATGAGGGCGACCAGGTCAAGAACGGCACCAACATGAAGTCGCTGCTCTTGGAGAGGGAGGAAGCCGCTGTCGCAGCCTCCTTGTCTCAAACGGGCGCTTCCCTGGGGAGCGCCTTCGCCGCCCTCACCCTGCTGCTACTGGTGCTGTCCGGGATCTGCCTCCTTGCCAGGAAGTGTCGGAAGGTGCGAAGGAAGCGGGAGGCTGCCAGGGCTGCCCCTGAGGAGCACACCTTGAACACCAAGGTGGAGCTGCCTAGGGGCGTCCCAAGGGCCACGGGCAGCCGGTGCTGTACTGTGAGGAATGTTCATCCTTTGAGGGAAAATGGCAGCCTCTGCCAAGGGAAGGGCGGGAAGGTGAAGCAGGTGAACTTGGAAGTCAAAGTCCACAGCAATTTGCATGACGGCACAGAAGTGTAACGGAGCACACACTTTGGGAAAAGCTTTTTATAAACTGTAGAACAAGCATAACCCAAAACAGAAAACCCAAATAAAGTCACACTGGTATTTTTATACACTGGGAGGAGGAGGAGGAGGAGGAGTAGCTGCCACTCCCCTCTGCTCCTTGTGCAGCAGCCTTGCCGCACGGCACTGCTGGCCTTTTCCATTCATGGTGCTCAAAGCTGCAGCTCTGCACTACCCCGACAGTGCCCAGGGCATCCAGCACCTCCCACCGTGTCCCTGGGCAAGGGGCCCAGCCCTGGGACCAGGCAGCATGGGGACACCATCCCCACCCTGTATGGGGACAGTGTCCTGCTGGCACAGGCATGGGGGAGCTCTGTGCCAGCCAGGAGAACAGCAGGGCATCTCTGACAGAGAATAAAGCTGGAACATAAACGTGACCCAGTGTGACTGGGGTGTCCTTTTCTCCACTGCCTACTCCAGCTCTCCTCCTTTCCAAGGAGCATAGCAAGGCAGGAAAACCACGGGGAAGGGCGAGGCGGGCGATGTTCTCATCTGGGGGAGGGTGTGGTGGCCTCGGGAGTGACCGATCGGGGGGCTCTGCACCCCGTGGGGTGCGGGCGGTCCCCGCCGTGCAGTAGCCCTGGGGCTGCGGTACCGACCATGTCCGCCAGACGGCGCCTGCCGTGGGCTGTACTGCGGCTCCGGGGGAGCTCGGGGCCGCTCCGAGAGGGCTCCGTGCCCAGGCCGGTGCTGCCTCGGCCTTGGCATCTCGGGCCCCGTGACAGCCCCGACTCCCCCGGCCCGAGCGGGTCCGTGTCCCGTTCCCTGGGGGGGTCCCAGCCCCGCTATGACCGCAGCCCGAGCGGGAGCGGCAGCGCCAGACTCGGCTCCAGCGCCCGCGGCGATCCCGATCCCAGCCCCAATCCCGCCCCGGTCCTTCGGCCGCAGGACCCGCACCCGCCGCCGGGCGAGAGGCGGCACCGGCCGGGACCCGCAGCGGGCACGAAGCCCCGGGAACGAGCATGAGCCCCCGGCCACGAGCCCCCGGCCACGAGCCCCAGGCCACGAGCCCCCGGCCACGAGCCCCCGGCCACGAGCCCCCGGCCACGAGCCCCAGGCCACGAGCCCGGCGCGCGCGGGGCGGGGCCTCAGGGCTCGAGCCCCTGAGGGCGCCTCAGGCCGCCATTTTGTCCGTTGGTTCGCGGTAGAGGAGGCGGGACCGGGTCGGTCTCCCTCGGTGGGGCCCAGGTGAGCCGCGGGGCCTCGGCCTACTACC